TTTCTCTAAGATTTTTTTAAGTTAATGTTATAAATTTTATGTCAAAAAAAAAAATGGAAATAAAATTATTTTTAATTAAAATCCAATTTTAAAATTCACAATTTATAACATAAATTTTTAAAACATTTGAAACATACAAAATTATTGATTTTCATTTAAATTGTTGGAGAACACGATAAATTTTAAAAATATTATTTAAATTGTTTAAATCATCAAACGATTGGAACTTTTAGAAATTATTGGGAAAAAATTAATAACTTTCTTTTGACGAAAGAAATCGAATGTCTGGTAATCAATCAATTTCACGAGAAATTTACATCGGTAAAATAATTAAAAGTAAAGAGAATTATTATTTGCAAACCAATATTCAAAATATAACAAAATTTTGATGACTTGAAATCGACGAGGGAAAAATTATTTATTAAAAAATTCATATTAATTTATTTTCTTTTTAATTTTTATTACTTGATATATATTATAACTTTTATAAATAAATTGATTGCATATTTCCAAATTATCAAATAAATACAGAAAATATCTTTTTGCGTGTATAAAAAGTTGTTAATATAATGAATATAAAAAAAAGATTAATATTAATATGTGTATGTGTGGTTTATATAAATAGTGGATACAAATTGAGAAAGAATAAAAAAAAATTCTGCTTTTCGTGAAGTTAAACGCTGATCAGGATTTTCAAAAAAATATCTCCGGGCGTTGCAGTGTTATTGAATTTTTATCAAAATATTTACCACCTATCGATGAATGTTTTTCAATTAAACGATCGTCAAAAAAAACCGATAAATAATTATTTGAATCGTGAATTTTGTTTGAGTTTTGTAAAAAAATTAAATGCACGAAACATCCTCTGTATAAAGTTCAATATTTGAACTCTATTATTTATGAAAATCCCTCCCCCCCTCCCAAAAATAATAACAAAATATCTCCATTTATTACATACACATAACCGTATATTATATTTTAACGAACGTTAATTTTACTTTTAATAATACATAATAATAATTGATCTTGGAATTTTATTTGATGATTTAATATTAATTAAACTAATTCTAATAATAGTACTAAATTCTATAACTAATCATTGAATAAAAGCATTATTTAAATTTATAATTATAAATAAAAAAAAATTAATAAAAAAATAAATAAATTACGTTTATTATTTAAGAAAATAAATAATATATAAAAATTTAATTTAAATAAAATTGAATTAAATTATTTTTATATATTATTAAGTGATATAAATTTAATTATATATATTGAATATTTTATCAAAATATTTCTTTAATATTACTTTATTTAAATATAATAAAATTATTAATTTTTAAATGCAATTTAAATGTTATAAATTAACTAATATCCAGTATTAAAATTTATTTATTAATTTAATTAATTCTATTACAATTAAAATAATGAATTTAATTAATTATGATATTTACATTTCCCTAATTAAAGATACCTGATACTATCTTCTTAATAACAAAATATTTCAAATATTTCCGAATAAAAATATCTAGATACAGAATTGATCTAACGAAGCTTCCTCACAATACCGGAATTAAAAATTATTCAAAGGCAAAGGATTGATCATCAAACTTAAAAAAGATTAACTGGAAACTCTTAAGAGGCTGTTTAAAACTCAAAAGAAATCTCGAGTTGGCTGTTCCCTCGAACTTTCAATAAATTAGTGAACTAGCTTATTAGAATTCTCTTTCAATCTTTGAAACTCGTTTCTCCACTGATTCGATTGGGAAAAATAAACAAACAAGATCAATAAATTTGAATAAATAGGTGTTTGAAAGTTCGGATCACATTAAATTTCCTTCGATCTATCTAATTATTAGAGCAATCGAGACTCGAGTGGCCGTCATTCTTCGATCGAACAAATTTCAAGAATTGGATAAATAAAATTATTTGTGGAACAGGTATGGCCAAGCTTGATCGATTAAGTGAATTTTTTTTTTTTTAATTTTTTCAATTGCCTCCAATATAATCGAGAGAAGAAAACTTGGATATGGAAATGAACAGGAAAATATTTATTTCAATTTTAACGAACATTTTCCATGATAGATTTTATATTTCTCGTTTCAATTGAATATCATAATAAATAATATTTATATGAATATGTTTTAATGTTTTAAATTATTTTATGAAACAAGAAAATTATTTTAGAATATTATTTCATAAAATAATTTTTTTAAATGGAATAAATAAAGAATAAATAAAATAATATTAAAGTTAAACTCTGCAAACAATTTGTCTCGTTCATGCTCGAAGAAAAATTTCATTTTCGAGTTCCTTACTTTTGCTGATAAAACTTCTACATATTTAATTGAACAATAAGAAGAATGATTATGGACATAAACGATGTAGAGAGTGCAAAAAATGTGCATGGAATATTATGTTAATTAAGTAATAATTAACTGAAATACGAAGTAGTATCTTTTTTATTATCAAAGGCATGAATATATAATTCAATATCTTGTGGAAATTTACGATCTACACATAAAATAAAATATAATAAAGATCATTTTTTTAAGATGTCAATATTTATTTTATCTAAAATTCAGAATATCACTTTAACATTCATTTCCTACTCAAGAAGAAAATTTCAATCTTTCTTTCATACAAGTATATCCATTGTATTTATAAAAACAAAATTGTTTCTTGTTTTTTTGTTTTTTATTTTTTGTTTCTAATAATTATTTTAATAATTGGATTTTCGATGATTTTTATAAAGATTTATAGCAGCTTTTTTCTGTACAAGATCTGCTTCATAATTTTCAAAAGATACTATTAACGCATTATAATTTCCCTTATACGTATTTATAATAACGTGTACGTAAGCACGTGACCGCCATTTATCTTCTGTTAATACAAATATATCACGATGACGTTGACACTTCAAATATAATGAGTTGATATCATCATATGAATATCTATCCATCATGTATCTTTTTATCTATTCATAGACAGCTTAGAAATTCCACGGATCTGCGATATATGCGAAAATATAAAATAATCCCTGAACGAACGAAATCATAATAACTGATATTGTAATAATTCACAAATTCGAAAGAATATTTTAGATATTAAATATATCAGCCAATTTAAGGAAAAATTTAAAATATGATTAATATTTGATATTATAATATTTGGGAAAAATAAACAAACAAGATCAATAAATTTGAATAAATAGGTGTTTGAAAGTTCGGATCACATTAAATTTCCTTCGATCTATCTAATTATTAGAGCAATCGAGACTCGAGTGGCCGTCATTCTTCGATCGAACAAATTTCAAGAATTGGATAAATAAAATTATTTGTGGAACAGGTATGGCCAAGCTTGATCGATTAAGTGAATTTTTTTTTTTTTAATTTTTTTCAATTGCCTCCAATATAATCGAGAGAAGAAAACTTGGATATGGAAATGAACAGGAAAATATTTATTTCAATTTTAACGAACATTTTCCATGATAGATTTTATATTTCTCGTTTCAATTGAATATCATAATAAATAATATTTATATGAATATGTTTTAATGTTTTAAATTATTTTATGAAACAAGAAAATTATTTTAGAATATTATTTCATAAAATAATTTTTTTAAATGGAATAAATAAAGAATAAATAAAATAATATTAAAGTTAAACTCTGCAAACAATTTGTCTCGTTCATGCTCGAAGAAAAATTTCATTTTCGAGTTCCTTACTTTTGCTGATAAAACTTCTACATATTTAATTGAACAATAAGAAGAATGATTATGGACATAAACGATGTAGAGAGTGCAAAAAATGTGCATGGAATATTATGTTAATTAAGTAATAATTAACTGAAATACGAAGTAGTATCTTTTTTATTATCAAAGGCATGAATATATAATTCAATATCTTGTGGAAATTTACGATCTACACATAAAATAAAATATAATAAAGATCATTTTTTTAAGATGTCAATATTTATTTTATCTAAAATTCAGAATATCACTTTAACATTCATTTCCTACTCAAGAAGAAAATTTCAATCTTTCTTTCATACAAGTATATCCATTGTATTTATAAAAACAAAATTGTTTCTTGTTTTTTTGTTTTTTATTTTTTGTTTCTAATAATTATTTTAATAATTGGATTTTCGATGATTTTTATAAAGATTTATAGCAGCTTTTTTCTGTACAAGATCTGCTTCATAATTTTCAAAAGATACTATTAACGCATTATAATTTCCCTTATACGTATTTATAATAACGTGTACGTAAGCACGTGACCGCCATTTATCTTCTGTTAATACAAATATATCACGATGACGTTGACACTTCAAATATAATGAGTTGATATCATCATATGAATATCTATCCATCATGTATCTTTTTATCTATTCATAGACAGCTTAGAAATTCCACGGATCTGCGATATATGCGAAAATATAAAATAATCCCTGAACGAACGAAATCATAATAACTGATATTGTAATAATTCACAAATTCGAAAGAATATTTTAGATATTAAATATATCAGCCAATTTAAGGAAAAATTTAAAATATGATTAATATTTGATATTATAATATTATTGAAAAATTCTAAAATATCGAAATAATAGATAATAATAGATACTAATAAAATAAATCTGATATTACTATCGTTGTAATTTTCCACAAATTCGAAGGAATTTTTTAGATACTAGATATATCAATCAGTATAAGGAAAAATTCAAAATGTGGTGTTATAATGTTATTGAAAAATATCGAAATAATAGATAATAATAAATACTAATAAAATAAATCTGATATCACTATCGTTGTAATTTTCCACAAATTCGAAGGAATTTTTTAGATAGATATATCAATCAGTATAAGGAAAAATTCAAAATGTGGTGTTATAAGGTAATTGAAAAATTTCTAAAATATCGAAATCTGAATTTTTTTTTTTTTTGTAATTTATAATATTTATACTGTTTACACAAAGAAGGTAAAAAATTGAAAAGCTTACGGGCACAGCTGTTGAAGTTCCTCTTTCTTCGCCACGAAGCTCAAGTCGTTGGTGTTGATTCTCTCGAAAGGCCTTCCGCATCTCACCAGCCTTTCGTGTCCGCACTCTTGGCTCCGACAACTGCCAAGCACTGAAACGGAAACAGCGATAACGCAAAGTGAAAAAGAATGCGAACAAATCGTACAAGCTAACGATAAGATGTTTCCAACATTGGACAATTAATAGCCGAGGGGATCTGGATGTCATTTTAAAACATCTTCCAACGGGTTTTAGACTTGGGATACTATTTCATTTTAAGATTTATCGATTGTCAAGCGAATGGAAAAGTGGCACATTTATTCGCTACATTAACCTCCGTTTAACCTTTTCACGGATGGAACCTGTGCGAACCAACAGCGAGTAGTTTATGTTTAACGCGAATATAACATTTGAGAAAAATTGACGTTTTATTAATATTCAAATTGAAAAGTGTAATTTTTAATTCGTCTTTAATTTCCTTTAATCGGAAACTATTGGAATAATATTTAATTATACTTCATTTAGAACTTCATGTATAAATCAGTCAAAAATAAAATTCTAAATATTTAGAATTGACGATATTTTAAATTGTAATCTCAAATTTATAATGAATAGTTTTCAAAATTGCATGATATTTTCTAATATTACGTTTCAGAAATATCTTATCATTATATAAATGATTAAAAGAATTAAAAATTGTAGTTTGTAAATTTCTCTTTTGAAATTTTGAAATTTTTCGTCGAATATTCGTTATGAAAAAAAAATTATACAAGAAAATATATTTATTGGAAACTTATTTTTCTAAAATTTAGAAATATTGTACAAGAAAACTCCCGTTAAAAAAATTTTATGACGCCTAATAAATTTTAAAAAATCCAAAATCAATTCCTTCTTCCATTTCCTTTTTTTCTCATTTCTTCTCTGCAATCGTATCAAAGAATTTTTTCATCATTATACACAATTTATTAAATTTCTCTTCAGTTGTATGTTCCATAACATTTTGATTAAATATCTGCATGAAATTAACTCTAATATATTTTAAATTTCCTGTTGCAATATATTTCAAATAAAGTAAACAATTTTTGCTTCTTTATTCATATATAAATATCATACAACGATACACCGAATTTCCACAAAGAGAATCTTCTCTTTATCAAGAATCAAGAATAATTAATCCAGTTTGAATAATTTTTACGTTAAATCGCAAAGAGTAATAAGCATAACGAGAAATGAATTAATAAAATATTGTAATAGACGAAATAAAAAGAATGCAATCACTTCGTCTGAAGTTAATTTCTTCAATTATATTTGAAAAGTTATTTGTTGAAAGACAAACTTGAAAAAGAAGTCGATCTTGACCTCATTCAAATCCTCCTAGATACAAGTTGATCGTGTTATCTTTGATCGAATTAACCACGTGCCGCGATTGCCAATTTGAACAAATTAATTTTTCACTTAAAACTCATCCAACGCGTTAGACGTTAATAATAGAATTGCTGCGTCTTAGGATAAGATAAAACGTGACTAGATAATATAGACAACCATTTTGTCAGTCACTTTAATTAATACAAGTTCCATTTTATTATAAAAGTTCCATTTAAAAAAGAATAATAATGTTATTAGAATATTTTCATATAAAATAAAACAAAATTTTCGACACAAAAGAGAAGAATTAAATTTAAAATATGAATTTATACGTACAATATATACAAAGAATTTAAACACACTGTTCACATTTTACTTATAACATTTTATAAGTTGTATTACATTATATTCTGATAAAATTTTTTTTCTATACAGAATATTTATTTTCACGTATAAAATTGATGACAAAATATAAAAATTTTCTGTTTTATAGAATACAACTATTTATAATATAAAATAAAATAAATTTGATGTGTCATAACATAATTTTCTATAGACTCCAATAATAATGTTGCTTTAATATTATTAAATACGATATATTACCAAACTTTTTGCATAAATTCAAAAATAATCATCAATTTGAAGAAATTGAAGGAATTTTTGTTTTACAAAGAAAATATGCTAAGAGATACTAATTATTAACCTCATAATAAGATTAAAAATCAACATTTTTCATATAATATATAATTGATGTATCCGCTAAAACTTTACACGAGAAGTCGTTTTGTCTAACAAATCGTGTATCTAAGAATTATAATTAATAATTCCAATTGAATTTGTCGATTTAAAAAGAAAAAAGAAGAACGTGAAAAACGAACGACTCGATGAAACATGAAACATGACGTCACGTTAGAAAACTAGGACGATAATAAATCCACGTTAATCTGTACACCGAGTCGTCGGCATTGGTATGGATGTACCACTGCGCAATGCCCGAGCAATGCTAGGTTGATCCACTTGAGCCTTGGCTTGTCTTTTTGCAAGGATTAAAGCGGATTGCGCGTGGCCAACACGGGCGCCCAGGGTAACGAGAGTTTAGCTAACATTGCACAGACCGGTCCCATATCCAACTGCTTACATGTGTGTAACATACTCGTGAGAACATGCAACGCATTTGGCGAGGGATCGTCTGACTTATCGTCGATATCGAGAGAAATCACTCGTATATATTTCGAACGAACGAGAAGAAAAATTCGAAAGGCGATTTTATACGATGTTATACTTTCGACGAAATTGTATGAATCGTGTTTGGAAAGAGTACGGATATTCTCTTCATCTTTTATATAATCTCTAAATCTTTTCTCTAAATTATTAAATATACAACGTGTTATTAACTTCTAACTAAAAAAGTCAGAATTTCGTTCGAGTTATGGTATGGAAAAAAAAAAAAATGAAATTTCAAAATAGAGAAACGCATCCGACTAGCTAAACAAAACATCATTAAATCCGAATCAACTTCTTAATTTGAACGAATGGTTTTTTGCCCGTCGTTAAACCACGAACTAGCCCATGATAATAACTATGCTCGTTCATCATCATTAAGCATTCCAGAAATGCGTTTCCTGTGTTTCGTATACGGAATTTTGCTTCTCAATATCCAAACAATTAGGTTACAAACGTTTACCGGAAATGATTTTGATTTCCATAGTCAAAGATTGATGATTTTAAAAGAATTCTAGAATTCTGCTTGTCATTGAAATAGCCAATTTTGATTGTCAAATTTGTGCGAATTATATCTAGTTTAAAATTAGTATAAAAGAAAAGGAAAATAATAGGATAAAAATCTCTTTTCCCTATTTTCCAACAATTTTAAATAATTTTAATAATATCGATAAAAAAGATCTTATTACAATTCTGCGCTATGACTTAAATATGAATATTTTATTACTTAGACATACCATAAGCAATATTAGTTACCGCTTCAGCATTTGAAATATTGCGAATATATTCTTTCAATTTGCCATGATAAAAAATGTTTAACCAATCGCTTCCATAAGAATTGCTTTTAATTTCAGAAATATTGCTTTTATGTTCATAAACAATATTGTTTATCCTGAAAATCGAACGAATATATTATTATTCAAAACTAGACTCGATATTTATTAAGTACAAAAAGATTTCGATGAAATCAGCGAAGAAAAAAATTATCGATTCAAAAATTCATATTAAAAATTACTTGCCTTTAATCTTTTTCTCGCGCTATATTTCTCAACCAAAACCGGTATCGCGTCATAATATTTTATCGTTTCAAACCCGAAAAAAGAACGGGGAACGAGGAATATTCAAACGGTTGGATGGAAATCGATGCAAAATCACAATCCAGCTAAGCCAGGGAAATTGTGCAGAAATTCACATGTAGACTTGGTGATCGCGCTCGATACATCTCTGGCGCAGGCTAGGCGGCGGTGCAACAAGCTCTGTGCTCTGTTTTCGACGATGATATAACGCGTTATTTGATAATAGTCAATTTCGCGGAAAATAGAGGCGACGTGAAATTTCCATTCAAATTCGACTTTGTTTCCCCGAGGTGATCGAAAATTATACCTCGATGCACCATTTTTACCGCGGAGAGAAAGAGAAACAGAGAGAGGGAAGAAAATTCGAATATCGCGATAAAACGAAATTTACTATCAATGAAATTGTACATCTTCCGATTCCCTCGCCTTTTTCTCGGACGCAATTCGCTCCTTCTTGCTTCTTCTATCGTTCCACCTCGACAAATTTGCCATGGAACTCGGCCGAGTTTTTTGTTTCTCCAACAACAAATAAACCGCTTCGTTCGAAAATTAAACAATTAGTTTAGTACTTTCGTGAAAGATTAATTCTTTCTTGTAGCGAATATTTCTAACGAGTGGACACTGCGTTGAAAAGTCTGAGGATATTGCTGTGGGAGCGAAAATTTTCTAGATTGGTCTCGATACGACTGTCAATAGCTGCCTTCGCGATTCAAAACAGTTTTGTATTCCGTGAGTAGGTTGGAAGTGGCTGTCACGAGAGTGACGTAGCTTGAAGTGGGAATAAGAGAAACAGGAGAGAGTGAGCACACACCTGGGAATAAGATTCTGAGAATTCAGAAACTCTGGATGAGTTTTTTCTTTATCGACTATCTGGGAGTGTTAAAAATTTCGAAAGTTGTTCTCAAGTAAACACATAATTTGAGGGGCAAAAATAAAGTGGCGAAAAAGAGTTTCAAATGGATGCACGGATAGAACACTTTAATTACTTTAGACAGAACACTTTAATTACTTCTTTCGTAAATATATCGAGTTGGTGAGAAAGTTTATTTTTGATCCTAAACACAATTTTAAATGAATGTTATATTATTGTTTATTGCGTGATGAAGTTTGTTCGAGAAAACAGTCAAATATAATATCATAAATTTTATACATTATCAAGTTTAACATAATTATTATAATTTATTGATTACGAAAGGTGAGAAAACCAAATGTAGACATTTTCCATATCAGAAATTCTATAAGCTCCAATGATAAAAGAATAATTATTTTCCAATATAATTTCATTACACAAATCAATCGTTATCAATTTTCAAAGTCAATCGAGATAATACTTCACGTATCATGATTCACACTTCTATTCACAGCACTTGTCGAAAACTTTTTGTCTAATCTTCATTAGGTTGGAAATTCGAATGGCACCTGGTGTCAATTAAACGAAAATTCGACTTAA